TTTTTCTCTCCCACTAAGAAAACCAATTGCAACTTAAAATAAGGTTGATGCTACTATACAAATTCTAATTTCAGTGTGTCTGTAAGAAAGCTAGCTGTACTACTAATCATGGCGCGCTGCTCACCAATTGAGAACAGCTACTATAAGCAGTCAGAAACTATTAAAGAGCTGGAAGTGAGGGAGCTATGGACCAAAGTTAGGCTCTAGAAATACATGAGGGTAAGTCAAAAAGTATTACTACTAGGATTCCAGTTCATACATACAAAGGTTTATTCTAAACAGAATGTGTCCTGACATGTCTGTGTGATCAGTGGATAGCTGCACCCAAGTCCTGTCAGTACTACACTTATCTTATACTTTGTTGTTTGTGTCAAGTCAGTTCCAAATCATAGCAACCCTATAGGGGATTTCCAGGAGCATCCGGTGGGTTTGAACTGTCAGTCTTGAGGCTAGCAGTCCAGTGTGTGTCCTACAGCACCACACCAGCTTTTTTTTTGAGGCCCAATCAGAACATTGGCTTCCGAGGGAATCTGCTGGGTCAGTTAAATTCAAAACAGAGAGGTCAGTTCAGAAGATTATGGTAGCTGTTTTTAGAGTACCAAAGGTGTATTCTTGAAAGACCCAATGCAGTCACTAAGGCATATTATGAAACCGAAAACTTCATTGGTGAGAGACAGGCCAGGAAAGTTGTGCTGAGGAATTTTGCTCCATCACAGTAGTGCACCTGCTCATCCTTTAAAGGCAGCCAAGGGCTGTCCTGTGAGAATTTCCTTAGGAAACCTTACCCCATCCACCCTACAGCCCTGATCTTGCCCCTTCAAACTTCTTTTTATTCCAGAAAGTTTGTGTCCCTCTGGGATGTAAAAACTGCTATCTTGACGTGGCATAAATTGAAGAGTGCAGGACTCTCTGGGGAGGGGTTAGATGGCAGCGCCACTTTGAGAAGTGTGTGGAGGCCTACAGGAGCAGACAGCCTCATCACTCTGGAGTGGTGGCTGATGGGTTTGAGCCACTGACCTTGTGGTTAGCAACTTGTTATTGCTACGTATCACTGAGTTGGTTCCTACTCATAGCGACCCTGTATAGGATTTCCAAGGAGCAGCTGGTGGGTGTGAGCAGCTAATCCTGTGGTTAGCAGCAACTTGTTAAGTGCCATCTAGTTGATTCCGACTCACAGTGACCCTGTATAGGGTTTTCTGAGGAGCAGCTGGTGGGTTTGAATCCCTGACCTTAGAGTTAGCATTCCAGTGCTTATCCTACAGCACCACACCAGGACTCCATGGTTAGCAACTAGTAAGTACTTACTAGAGGAGTCCTGGTACCACAGAGGTTAAGCACTCAACTACTAACCAGAAGATTGGTAATTTGAACTCACCAGCTGCTCTATGGGAGATAGATGTGGCAGTCTGCCTGCTTAAAGATTTATAGCCTTAGAAACCCTTTGGGGTAGTTCTAACCTGTCCTTTTGCGCCCCTGTGAATTGGAATTGACTCATCAGCCATGGCTTTGGATTTTTTATTTCAGTGCTCAATAAATCCTAGGTTTTCCTTCTGAATTACAGTCTTGTTGAGTTGGTTCTGGATTCAGTGACTAGGTATAGGGTGTCTATACATCCATACATCCCATCTTCATGGGAGCAGAAAGCCTCATCTTTCTCCTGCAGAGTGACTGGTGGACTCAAACTGCAGACCTTGAGGATTGCAGTCCAGTGCTTATTGTAGTAGACATGAACTCCAACAGATGGAACCATATACATCATAGGTCTTCTTCTTATTCTTGGTAGCAGTTCAATAATGGTTAGTATTTTCACTAACAGCCTCAGCATTATAGGGAGACCAGAAGTGGGGGGAAAACCAAAGATTTTAACATTTACAAAGGTTTATGTGCCAGCTGATAAGGAGGCACCACGAAGCATGTTGAAGGAAGGAAAGCTTTCCTTTGGGACCACATCTGGAGGAGAAGGAAGTGTATATCCTAGTAGTGGAATCAAGTGATCAAATTTGCCAAGGTCCATGTATTCAGTATTGGGAAGGGAGGGAGACCCATTTCAAGGTTACAGTAAATTCTTCAGACACTTCTTTCTAATTGTGTCATGCTTTTCTTCCTTTCATGTACCTTGACTTGCTCGCCAGATTTTGACGCAAACAATATCTTCAAGGCATTCTTCGGTGGCCCTGGGGGCTTCAGCTTTGAAGGTGGGTATGCCTGCTACTCCCAGGAGGCCCCAGGTCACAAGTAAACCAGGGACTCCTCAGTTAAGCGACTCCTTCGGGTTCCTGAATTCATATCTAGGAGGCCATCTACCCACTCCAGCGTTGACTTAGCTGAGGACGGAGCAGGGGAGGTGACTAGATGCCCCTCTCAGGCCCAGGGAGCTGTCGCTAAGTTGCCTGCTGCTAGAACTGCTTTTCAGGATGGCAACGCTCAGAAGCTACAGATGCGCCCTCACACTGCTGTCTGACGCCCTTCTGTAGAGCTTTTATTGAACAGTGAGCTTCCCTAGAAGAGCCAGAGCCAGCTAATAACAAACTCTTCTTTTCCTTCCAGCATCTGGTCCTGGGAATTTCTTTTTTCAGTTTGGCTAATGAAAGGAAACCAGCCACCCAGAACCCAGAAAATGCAGACTTGTTCAGTTTAACCTGGAATATGGACAGAATGCAACTCCTTCCTTCATCATGTCTCCGTGTGCTTAGAGCGGTTTCGTTTTCTCAGTTGGATCCCTCTGTCTGTGTGCGTGGGGTGAAGGAAAGGGAGCCAGCGCTGAAGACTGTGGGGAGGGCAGGGAGGTGGGGGGCGCAGAGGGAGGCAGCTTGTGAATTTTTTTGTTGTACTGTTTAACTTTATTAAAAAAGAAAAAATGAAGAGAATAAAATGTTTTGACCCTTTCTGGACCTCTGCTCTAGCAGCTGCTTTGTGTCGGTGTATCAGAGCCGAACCCCCAGCATGGACGTTAGACTCAGGAGGCAGCCTCACAGGGGTATGAGCACCCAACTCTGGTGGAAGAAAGGTTGAGTGTTGGCTGTCTCTCCCAGAGCCGCCGCCTAGCGTGAGTGCTGCTGGGCCCGGCCTGATGTCAGCATAGGGGTGTGTTTGGAAAACATGCTCGCTGTATGGTGGGAGTCTCCAGAAAGCACTAGAAGTTGTGAGAGGGTGTGAAGCGTCATGCTGGGCGCTAACCTAGACAGGCAGTCTACAGAGACTCTAATGAAACCTGTTGGGGTGAGTTAGATCAGAGGACAGTGAGATCTTGCCTCCCCAGCCTCTTCCAGAGTAGGGCAAGCAGCTTCTGAGCGCGGGGGTCAAGTCACTGACATAAGTCTCCTGTAGGTAGAAACACCCACTCTTAGCAAATGCCCTTGTTTTCTGCAAGGAGGAGGCAAATGGGGAAGGGGTGCATGGCACAGCCCCTGATCTTCAGGTCAGGCTGTGCATGGCCACATTCTGAAGCACTCTAGACAGATCATTGGAAGCTCATATTTTTGGTGCTTTAGTAGTTTAAGTAGGGAAGAGTCTTGAACCCGCAGTTACTTATCTAACCTTCTGAACCCATCTCTCCCCTCTGGTAGCAAGACTGGAGTGAAATGATGACCACATTAATGCTGACCTGGAAAGGACTTGAATCTCATGCTCCCGTTTGAAGCCGAATGGCCTTTCTAACTAGGAACTCGAGTCTTGTTGCGAAGTTTGGTTGGATGGGGTTGGGGACACCTAAGCCTCACACTGGTTAAAGGGTAAGAGGCTTGGAGCTCTACATCGCTTTCTCAGCCAACCACCACCTTCTGATGAATCTAAAACCATTCTCTCCTTTCTCCTTCCTCATGAAAGCCAACACTGTTCAACTGCCCAGCCTTAGCACAGCTGTGCGCAGCCAGCAGAGGGGAGACAGGACCGATGGCCCCAAGCTGTGGGACAGAGCCAGTCCTGAGAGACCCAGCCCTCGCCCAAGGAAAGACCTAACTGGGCACAGAAGGGAAGGCAGACAGCACACAACTAGGATTAACATGATTTATTTCATTACCAGTCTTAGAATTGCTAAATTGGACAAAGCCAGGATAGTAACTTAAATCCCAAGTACTTTTGTTGAGTCATAACCCGATTAGCGAGGCCCTGTTATTGAGCGGAGGGTGCTGAGGGGCACCCAAGAACCACAGCTTATGTAGCAGAGTGTTACAAATCCCTTCATTGAGAAATAGGTAAACCGTAACAGCCAGGGATCTGTTCCATTGGCTCTAGATACCCACCAAGCCCCTTTAGAGGAGACACACATGAGACCTCCCAAGGCACCGTGGAGACAAGATGGGTTGGGCAGACTAAGACTGGAGCATCCCCACCAATGGACTCTGCCTGCCACTCTAGAGCCCATTGCTGGGAACGATGGTAAGCCTAGTTCCTTCCCAGTGAAGTCAGCCTGCAGCCTGACATATGGCTTCCGCAGCTTCTGTTGCCTTCTGTGGTTCTCAGACGGTTACCTAGTTATGGTAATGGAGGAGGAGACGGACCCAGGACCAAAGGTGGGATAAGCCCTTTTTCTACCCTGGTAAATAGCCCCTGCCTTCCTGGGACTGTGCTGATTCAAAAAGGCATCAAAGCCCAGGGATCCCTCACCCCAGACCCGCCATTCATTCTTTGTGGCAGTGTTACTACCACTGGTCAGAAGGCTGTTTGTCGCCTTCAGGTGGCCCTCCCATTAGTCCAGCGCAGCAGAGCTGGAGCAAGGTCTGGTGACAGGAACTGAAAGCAGGGCTCAGTTCTGGCTGCAGCTCCAGGCCCAAATGGACCTGGCCTCATCAGCTTTGGCCCAGGTTCCTGAATGGTGTCTACATGGCCCTTGTGTGGACAGGAGGCTGGAGTGTTAGCAAGGAAGAGGGCAGTAGGAGGAAGTCAATTAGTGCACACATTTTTTAAAAAGTTGCAGGTAGGTTAACTGAGTAAAATAAAAAAAAAAGATCAAGCTCCCTGCCCTTTCCTTAGAGAGCGAGGGGCACCTGGTGGGAGGGTACTCAAATGATGGTGCATGACTGCAGGCCAGCCCCCTTCCGGCTGCTGTGTGTGGGTACAGCTTTGCCCTTCCCGTAGTACCCCGTGAAGATGGCCCTGAGCTCCAGCTTCTTGGTCAGGTTCAGCATCCAGCGCCCACTTCCCAAGGAGTAGAGCTTGCCCCGGTGTAGCTCACCCACCTCCTCGCCTCGGTTGCCCCCCTTCTCCTGGCGCACAATCTCGAGGAGGTCAATGCCTGTCTGCACAGCCTCCACATCACTTGCACAGCCCAGAGTGATGTGTGCACGGCTCCCCCGAGGCAGGTTGTCAGTGGGGGACAGCTTGTCCACGTCACTTGCCCACAACAGCAGCTGCTGCTCATTCAACTCCACCCGGGCTCCAGTTGTCTTGGGTGTCACAAAGAGGGCAGAGACCGTCAATGTGAAGGCCTTGCAGTACGATTTCCTCACCACCTGGGGAGAGTAAGAAAGAGGGGATGGCTGACAGGGTGTGTGCGGGGTAGCCAGAAGGAAGAAGTCTTAACAGTGAACACTAAGCAGAGGTCATGCTTCAGGGCACACCGTCCACAGATGTCGGTGATGCATGTCTGTGTGTTGGAGGGGTCTTCTCACTACCCTGTTTGGTATAATGTGCAAAAAAGAAGAGGCTCAGAGGCAGAATACAGCTGGAGTCAAAAGCAGACTTCCAAGTTCACAACCAAAGTGCCACTTAACTAGCTTGCATGGTTTTGAGGAAGTTGCTTAGCCTTTCTGCCTCGGTTTACTCACCTGTAAAGAGGGACAGTACTAGAAATTTGCTCAGAGTGAACGAGAGGATTAAAGGAGTGACAACAGCGGAAAGCTCTTAGCATCAGGCACAAAGCAGATGCCACTGTTGCCGTTAGTAGTAAGAACTGGGGAGGTCTGCAGGCCAGTACCTAGAGGGTGGGGTGAAATTGGACAAAATCCACTCTGTACACTTCAGTTTACATCTGATCATATCTGATTTTGAGAAAATCTGTCTTCCTCTGACCATAAAAGTTTCTCAATGTTTGTTTGCTCATGACATTTAGTCCCAACAGTATCGGGTCACAGGTGTTTCATAATTACTGAAGGAACAAATGGTTAGAGGCGATAGTGGAATTATTACAGTGAGCAATTCTAAAATACGCAGGTCCTCAGAGAGTTCCCACTCCAGTGGGAGGAAACCAGTTAATGGGTGGGGTAGGTCAGGTCGCGGGGTATGTGATGCTGAAGGGGACTGGAGACTGGAGACCGAGGAATGCCTGTCTGGGGAAGACGTCTGCTAGTCAGGATCACCTTCAGTGGCTGTGTGCTGGGGACAGGTCTGATAGCCCTAGTCAATAAGCTTTACTACCCCACAGTCCTCCTTAACTCCAACAAAGCCAGGCCTCGGAACTGGGGACAAAAACCTCACTGTACCAGGCTCCCTAGGGGGCAGTTTTAGGAATGGAGGCTGGCTCTTCAGTAAAGGGCACCGGGTGGGGGCTGATACAGCTATGCTGGGAAGGGGGAGATAGAGGGAACAGTGGTCTTAGGCTGCTGTCCATGTTCTGGTAGGTCCCCTCCTTGTACCCCCTCAGCTGGTGTCCCTAGGGAGAACTCACATCCTGCTGGGCGTACTCATCTGCCCCAGCTGCTTTCCCGTAGTCACAGAACTTGGTTGTGCAGTGTAGCACACTTGGGGGTCTCTTCCCGAAGTAGGTAACCAGTTCAATCTTCTCCTTGGTATCGTCCCCAGAGACAACTGTAAGGAGAGAGTGGTGGTCAGCGCAGGGGAGCAGAACAGGGGGCCAACTTCCCATGGAGACCACACCACAATGGTCACGTAGACCGTGAAGGATTACACCCCGTGCGTAAGTTACAGGATACTGTGCGTCAATTCTAGAGCAATTCATTTGTTAAGTGGCCAAAGAGCAAATTTTGAGCTGTATAAAGGTTTCCATGGTTTTACTTATATAAATGTTTGTATCTCTTCCCGAGGCTGGAAGATTCTCAGGTAGTACCAGACCAAGGGAATCTGCTTTTTACCAGCAAGTCAGAAAAAGTGTGGGGTAGAATGAAAAAGAGGGGAACACACAATCACACACAGCAACTGGGATGACCGCATGCCCAATTTGCCCAGGACCACCCAGGTATGGATGAGAAACTACAGGGTCCCCATGTTAACAGACACCTGCAGGGTGGTTTGTGGATGAGAGCATAGAATGAGATGGGTACAAGAAGAATCTTGGGCTGTAATGAGGTAACATCAGGTAGCTGTAGACACAGTGAGGTGTGGGATAGCTGTGATCTGAATGACTTTCCAGACTCCAAGCCTGTGGCTGTCTTCAGTCAATAGATTCTTTGTGTTTATTCCTGAGTTGAGTCCCTGCAAGGACATCCACCACCCTCCCAAGAGAGGGGCACATCTATTCTGAGCAGCCTTGTTCTTGCCCCGTTGCGTTTCTTCTGCTCCATCCCAAGTAGCAAAGGAACTCAGTTTTCAATGATAACAGCTTCAAGAGCCTGTTACTTTCCAAAACAGCCACCAGCTCGGAGCAGGAGGCCACATATGGGGCTCACTGCAGGCCAGCGTCCTGCAGGGCTCCAGGTTCCCTGGTCTCTGAGCAATCCACATTTAAGAGCAGAGAAGATAGTTACCAGAGGACTTAGACACGCACATGATACCTGAGTCATGCAAGTGAACATATATGCATGGGTGGGGATAGTCAAAAAATGAAGATCATCTAAAATCTGGGAAGTGGTAATGTGTTAAAGACACAGAAGATGACAGAGCTCCAATAAGCCGCTGGAGGAGAATGACGGCCACCAGGAGCCTTCCTTATCCCAAACCTACCCTCCTATTGGTGCACACAGCCCCTGCCAGGAGGAAACCTGGCCTAGCCCAGGCAGGGAAGCTCATAATGGTTTGTGGCAAACCCCACAGTCCTCTGTTTCCCTGTCTGCAGAACAAGAGGTTTGGTATTCACTGTGAGACTCTCATTCTCTGAATCCCTGGGACCCCACAGAGCTACCTTGGGGGCCAAGAGGAGAGTGGGGCAACCCAAGGCTGAGAGCCACTCCAAGGAAAGTCAGAAGTGTCCTACTCTTAATTTTTTACACCTTAGGACTCCATGTAGTATTTTGTTTTAGAAAATGGTTCTGCTGTTAAAAACCATTTTAAGACATTGGACCCGATTCTTCAAAGGTATAACACATGGTGACCTATCTCCTGTTATGACTTTCACTGTGTTTCTCCTATTTTTGAGGAAGGGACAGGTCTAGCTCTAGGCTGGGAGCAGGGAGACAAGGAATGTAGCGGGTACATGGGAGGGTGACTCCCTCCACATACCTCCCCCCAGGACCACATCATTGCAAGTGAGTCCCCACCTGGGCTCTCAGTTCTGTAAGAACCCATACTCCCATGCACGCAGCACCTGGTGCCATGTTTGCTGGGCTAGAGAATGGGGTTCACTGTGCACAGGCCTCACTTGCCTGCCCCGCCAGCCTCCCAGCCCTGCCACCTACAGTGTCGAAGCTCCTTCTTGAAAGCCTTGTGGTTCCCCAGCTCTTCCAGGAAGGCATGGCCAGCCTTGAGAAGGCTCTCAGAGCTCTTCTTGGTCAGGAACCAGCCGAAGAAGAGTGGCAGAAAGTCCTTCTCCAGGCCAGGCTTCAGTTTCTTCAGCTCGTCGACGGACAGCTGCCACTGGTTCTTCTCCTTGAGCTGGGCACAGTCCAGCCGCCACGCCGTCTTGGGCTCCACCAACACCACTTGGTACTGGTACTGGTCGGCCATTTCAAAGAGCTTTTCCAACCGCTCCCGTTCATGGTTGGTGTCATCCAGCACAAGCACTCTGATGTCCCGGCGTAAGTAGGCAGCCAGGTCCTCGTCTAGCCGCCTGTACTCCTCAGAGAAGTCTCCACGAATGCCAGGGTTAATCTTGTAGGCATCTGCAGACACCACCTTGGTGCCATCGTGGTACTTGTCCACGATGACGCGGGCCAATGTGGACTTGCCGCTTCCTGGCAGGCCGCGCAGGATGAAGAGTGTTTTGCACTCTTGCAGCGTGGTCACTGTCTCCTCATCCTGCAGGAAGGGAAACTGCAGCTCAGGCTTGTCCTTGGCCCCTGAGGATGACATTTTGCGGAAGAAGATCTTAGGCAGGAATGCGTGGCTCTTTCGGGAGAAGCCTCTATTCTGGGTGAGGAAGAGAAGAACAGCTGTCAGTCAGGTCAGTCAGTCCAGTCACCGGTAGCCATCCCAGCAGCTTTGTCCCTCATCTAACCTGGCTCCCAGCCCTAGTTTACAAGCACTCCTGGGGTGGAAAGCGCCTTCCCAAAGTGGTGGACTTTTCTAGGGCCTACCATGTCTCTTAGAGCCCCTGGCTGGTACTAACTGAAAACCTGAAATTCAAGTGTACCCAAAGATACCTCAAAAGAGGCCGGACAATCTACTCCCCCTCTACCACCATCACACACACACACAACTGGCCATTGAAAAGCTCCCTGGGGCACAGAGCACAGATCTACACCGACACCTGGATAGCAGGTCACCTGGATAGCAAATGGAGACGGGAGGGTGGACCGCTGTCCCTCCTTTGAGCCCCCTTGAGTACCTGTCCACTCCAGAGTGTGGAGGATGCCAACAAGGAGCTGCCGCAGCTCAGGTCCCTTCAGCTAGAGTGGTGTCTTCAGGACCACCCACTGCTGCCCCCTCTAAAAGGAGCCATGTCAAAGTACATGCAGAGGAGGGCCTGGCACCGAGTTATATATTCTTGGCAACTATTAAGGATGCCCTCTTTAAGGGGTGAGGTTTCTCTATCTGGGCAGAGACACAGCTGGGGTGGGGGTGGGGGAGAGGGAGGAGGGCTACTGAAAGACTACCTCCCTACCCCCAACAATGGCAGGGATAGATAATACTCTCTTGTTTAGGATGGGGGGACAATGGGCCCACAGAAGAGCTGGTAGGGGGCAGGGCAAGAGAGTGTTGGACAAAGGGCCTCATTCACCAACCTGCCACCTCCTTCCTCCTGCCCTGTCTCTGCCCCCGACAAAGTCGCGGGCGTTGTGCCTGTCCTAGAACTGGGCGGCACAAGCACCTGCGTTTGGGAGCCAGCTCTGCCCACCACTTAGCTGTGCGTCACCAGCACCTCTCTGGATCCCTTGGTTTCCCATCTGCTGAGCCACAAGTGACAACCGAAAACTTAACCCATTTCCTCCTCCCAACTGGCTGGGCGCCCCTGAGCGCCTGGTGGCGGGGCACATTTTTCAGCAGACAGGTCCCTGGGCAGGGGAAAGTGATAACAGCTGCCCGAGGGTGGCCCAGCGCGAGTGGGTCAGATCCCTAGTTATTCACACACCTGGGTCTTCCCATCGTTTTCCTCCTCCTTAATCTCCCCTACCTTACAGCTGCACCTGGTTCCCAAGAAAGCTTTAACTCCAGACCTCGGTCCTCATTTGCATTAAACGTCCTCATTTGCATTCCACTTCCTTCGGAGAACCCCAAAATACTCTGCTTTACTGTTACAGGCACCACCCCTCCGCCCGCCCCAGCCGTCTTCCTTCTTTCCCAGCCTCCACCTCATTGCTCACCATGGTGAGGAAGAGGCGCCGCCGTCGCCGCCTTTGCAGGCACTTACTCTCCGGGGCCGCCCGCCTGCGCGGAGGGACTCGGGAGTCCAGTGATGGCGTGTACACTGCCCAGTACGCTTTACATACCTCGGGGACGGGGCGGGACGGTCTGGCCTCTCTGCGCGCAGGCGCCTCGGAATCGAAACTCAGCTGTGCATCTGTGCTTCCGGGGAGAGAGTTTTTTGGGGCTTTTTCTTTTGTTTAATCATTAACTCTATATTTCGGGAAAACCCTCTCTTACACCCAAGCCAGGATTAGGATGAGTGAGGCAGGGTCGTGCAAGGGTAAGGTCAAAACTTGTCTTCAAAGATGTTGATAATTGTATTCATCATGGATTTTTGCATTAAAAATTTTTTTTGATGCTGCATTAAGATATTATCTATCTTTACTGAGTGAGCGCCTCCTTGAGTCCCTGAGTGGGGCAAATGATTAAGCGCTTACTTACTAACAGAAAGGTGGTGATTAAGTCCACCTAGCAGGGGCGGGGCCTAGAAAAAAAGCATGGCCATCAGTGTCTGAAAAGTCACAGCCATTGAGAATCTGACAGAGAGTAGTCGCCATGATTCAGAATCACTCCAGGGCAACTGCTTCGTTGTTTTGTTCGTAATTTTTACCCCAGGCAGCACCAGTCACCTCATCCGTTAGTCCTCTCCTCTTGTTGCTAAGTGCTCTGGAGTGGGTTCTGACAATAGGGTTCACATGGCGGACTGGCGAGTTTGAGCTGCTGACCTTTCCGTTCAAACTGGCCTTAACCCAGCCTAAAGTCAGCCAGAAATCCAACCCTTCTCGGAGTGTGCAAACAGAATCCAAGGGACAGCTGCTGAGTCTCCATAGCTGTGAAGCCACTCACCCTGATTCCATGATTTTCTAGACCTTGCTGTATGCCAAGCGCTATGCTAAACACTAATCCTCACACCAACCCGAGGCAAGTGCCCTACTTCACAGGTGGTGGTGGTTAGGTGCCGTGGAGTCGGTTCTGACTCATAGCGACCCTGTTCAGGCTTTCCGAGGCTGTAAATCGTTATGGGAGCAGAAAGCCTCGTCTTTCTCACATGGAACACCTGGTAATTTCCAACTGCTGGCCTTGCAAGTTAGCAGCCCGATTCATAACCACTGCGCTACCAGAGCGCCTTACAGAGCAGGAAATAAGTTTACTGAGTGCAATTTGCTTGATCCTACCACCAGGAGTCATACCAAGAGTCCAGCTGCTGGCCTCTTTCTTCCTCTGAGCTCCTAGAGTACAGCGGTCCTTTGGGAGTCCCAGCATCACATCACATCTTCCATAAAGCCTCCCACAGTGTACACAGTAGGGACTCAGTAACATGACCCAATGGCCAGTGGCTGGGCAGACACAAGTCTTCCCAAGGCCTTGTCTTGCCTCCTGTTAAGCTTCGGGGTTCTTTGTAACACGTGTTTCTGTACTTCTGAAAACATTTTGTAGTGCCTTTCTCTTCCATGGGAAGAGACCCGACCTGGGAGAAAAGGCTGGCTTTCACACCTTGGCCTGGTTTGGGGTTTGTACCCATGAATCTCTGTACCCAAACCAGCATCATCAATGGATTTCTCTAAGGGTCTTCTGAGACTGGGTGTGAGTGAGGAAACAAAATGATACACTCAGGGTTTATAAGAGTGAACGATATATATTTCAAAGGAAAATGGTAACAGAAAGAGGCAGAGGGAAACTGTTCCCTATTTTTCCTATTAAAAACAAAACTCAGCATGAAAATTCAGTTTAATATGATCCTCATCACCCCTGTGAACTCCAACTTCCTGATCCTAATGCCTATTACCAAGGGCTTCATTTATCTTCCTTTCCATCCTTTTCCATCTCTTCAAGATTTCCTGTTTCCCACTTTCCCTAGCTCTTCCAGGTCTGACTCCCTTCTGCCTACTTTGCTTCTTTCTACTCTCCTCCGCTTACACCTGAGAGTCCTTGGTCTATTTCTTCTGAGGGCCTCCTGTAAATTTCTGTTGATTCTCTTCTGCCCACTTCTGATAGTATCTTCCCTATTTTTGCTGAGTCTCTTTTGCCTAATTCTCCAGACAGTCTTTTGCCAACTTCTTCCAAGTCTCTTGTCTCTGTGGCTCCCAGTTCTGTTCTTCTGAAGAGGCTGGTGTCTCTTGCTTCCTGTTCCCCTGTGCTGCTCATCAATTCTTCCTCATCGTATGTATCAATGTTTTCTCTCTCCCACTGCTTCATCACCTTCTCCGGCTCGTCTTTCACCCGTTTCATCTCCTCATTAAGTCTTCTGACTGCAGTGACATCATCCACTTCTGTGGCCTCTTCTGGAAAAAAACAAAGCAAAAAAAAAAAAAACGAGACAGAAGGGAAAATAAGTTTATTTTCATCTTTGTACCTATGGAGGAGGTCTGTGTTTCTGAGACAGCCGAGAACAAAGGTCCTGAGAACAACAATGTTTATAGGCACCTTTCAAAAAGAAATGAAAGGGAACCACCATCTACTGAGCATCAACCATCTTTCAGGTCCCGTGTGAGGTGCTATGTTGATATTGTATTCATAAAGGATTTTTTGCATTAAAATTTCTATGATATTGCATTCAAATATTATCTATCTGGATTACTGAGTGTTTGGGCACCCCCTTAAGTCCCTGGGTGGTGGCAAATGGTTAAGCACTTGTTTACTAACAGAAAAGTGGTGTGCTTCAGTTCACTCAGAAGGGTCTTGGAAGAAAAGCTTGGCGGCGATCAACTTCTGAAGTCATAATCAAGGGACCTGAGATCAACTGAAGAAAATTCACATTTAATGGTCAACCATGCAAGACAATAAATGGCAGAGTCAGAATTTGAACTTGGGACAGTCTAACCCCAGAGCACAATCTCTTTTCCCTAGCAGACACTTCTCTCCACTCCTTTGTTGGGAGAGCTCCTGTGAACATCTGAGCGGGATGCTATTTACAACCAAAGGGATTCTTGCTCCTTGCCTTTAGCGGATACAGAGAAAAACCACCAGTTCCCTCCTGAGTCTCCCCTACATTCCCTTCCTGAAAGCCCCCGTCACCCAGATACCTCTAGGGCAGCTCAGAAGGCTCACAGTAGGAAAAAGGCAGCCATTTAGGGGTGGACACAAGTGCACTGCTGCCTCCTGCTGTTCTGAGAGGGAAGTGCCTCAACAGCTGTCATGGATCACAGGCCTTCCCAAGTTTGGGGGAGAACACCTTCCCTGGCACACAGCCTGACCCAAGGGAGGGCAAGGAGAGAAGGCTGCTTGGAGCATCTGCTGTTTCCCTGTAGCATCCGTGTTTTCTTTAATAAAAAAGCACATCCATCAAGCTGATTCTGTCTACTCACAGCAACCCTATAGGACAAAGTAGAACTGCTTCATAGGGTTTCTGAGGCTGTAGTCTCTGCAGAAGCTGGCTGCCTCATCTTTCTCCTGTGGAGCAGCTGATAGGTTCAAACCGCTGACTTTTCAGATAGCAGCCCAACATGTAGCCCACTGTGCCACTAGGTCTCCTTAGACATGCTCCAGAAACAAGTGAAGGCAGAGACAAAGCCTCTCCAGAGGGGACCCAGCCAGCACACAGCAGGTACTGCATAATAAAGGGCGGTCTTTTGGCTGCTCATTTGCATGGAACCCAGACCCAGGTTCCTGCTGCCTTGCCTGGACTAGAGAGGATTTCCGCCTCAGAGCCTGGAGGGCTGCAGCTCAGGAAAAACAGATCTCCAGGACTGAACTCTGTCCCCCTGGGTGCCCAAGACCCCTCTCCAGCTCCTGTCACTGAAGTATGACTGATGGGAGGGCACGATGGGGCAGCCAAAATGGTAATGTCATTGTTAGTGCCGTCGAGTCGGTTCTGGTTCCGACTCGTAGCAACCTTGGATAGGGTTTCTGAGGAGCTGCTGCTGGGTTTGAACCACCAACCTTGAGGCTCAAACTGACCTTGGGAACCATGTAAGCGCTCCGAAGCTCAAGTTCTCAAGTCAGAAGACCCAAGATTGAAAATCACTGTGGCTCCTTTAACTGCATTCTACTTCTGTGTCCTCCTCCGTGAAATCAAGCCCACTGTTTTATTTACTTCGTGGTGCTTCACGGATGATCCAATGGCACATCAAAGCACAGAGTGGAGCAGTAAGTATGTGCCTCTGGGGCCCTTCTCTGCCAACCCCAGCTGCCCACCTCCTCTTCCCTTCCCCTCTCCACCCTGTGAACTGGGAGATGCCAGGGCCCCTTGACCTAGAGCCTGCTGCTCCCTGGAGGCCTGTGAGAAAGAACAATAAGGCCAGCCCAGTCAGTGAGAGCCTGCCTGTCAGGCAAAACCAGACACAGCCGCCCTGTATTCTTCCCCACTCCACCCTGGGCCTAGTGTCAAGATACCCAATATGTAGGTAAGCATGGGCTTACTTGTGCTTACTTACTAATCTATAGCCAACAATTTCACATGGTTTTCATTTGCCCTACCACTAGCTGCTCCTTGGAAACACTACACAGTTGGAGCTGACTCGACGGGCACATTAACAACAACCCTCTGCCAGGGGAGTATGGTGGCTCCATACGATATCACTGAACTGTGAACCACACAAACCACAAGTTCAGCAGTTCGAGCCCACCCACCAGCTGCTCTGCAGGAGAAAGAAGGATGCCTTTAAAGCCTTGGAATCCCTATACAGGGTCTCTGTGAGTTGGAAACGACTTGACAGCACTTAACAACAACCTCTGTTAAGGAGCCCTGGTGTTGCCGTGGTTAAAGCATTCCACCCTTAACCAAAAGGTCAGTAGTTCGAACCCACCAGCCGCTCTGCAGGAGACACGGTCCCAGAGTTGGAATCCACTCACGGGCCATGCTTTTACCCTTTGCTGGTCAAAGAGCGCCACCCAGTGGAGAAGAGCACGGGCTGCAGGTTAGCCATCTGAGCTCAAGGCCCAGCCCCTCTCCTTCCTGTATGTAGGCCCCACGATGAGTCAGCCTCGCTCAGTCTCCATTTTCCCCCAAAAGGATAGCCACAGATTCAGGTGGTTGGTTCTGAATCAGGTAATTCGTGTCTAGTACTTAACTGGCACATAGCAAGGGCCCCAAATATGTGAGTTACTGTCATGCCTGTTGCTGGGGTGGGGGTGTGGGGGGGTCCTCCTGCTTCTGCCTGGCACCCAGGGAACTCCCAGTCCAAAAAAAAAAAGATTGGAGCCTGGGTCTTTGGAGTCTTGCCTACAGCCCCAGCAACTTGTGGAGCAGTGTCTTCTCACTTCTAAACCAGCGCTTAATGCTGACAGGACCCGTTCGCTGAGAACTCTTTTCCCCTGACCTGTTGTTAGGCGCCATCGAGTCGGTACTGACTTATAGCAACCTTATGCACAGCAGAAAGAAAAACTGCCCGATCCCGGGCCAGCCTCACTACTGTTGCCACGCTTGAGTCCATCAATGCTGTCACCTGGCCAATCCCTCCCGTTGGGGGTCTTCCTCTTTTTTCTGACCCTCCACCTTAACAAACATGATATCCTTCTCCAGCGACTGGACTCTCCTGACAATATGTCCGAAGAATGAGAGATGAAGTTTGGCCATCTTGGCCTCTAAGGAGCACTCTGGCTGCACTTCTTCCAACACAGATCTGTTGGTTCTATGGGCAGCCCATGACACTTTCAATATTCTCTCCTCCAACACCATAACTCAAAAGCATCAATTCTTCTACGGTCTTCCTTAGTCACTGTCCAGCTTTCACATGCATATGAAGTGATTGAAAATACATGACTTGGGTCAGGTGTCCCAGAAACTACCAACTTTCTGAAACCTGACTGCTTCCCCAGTGCTAGAAGTATTGACTGAAGGACTAAATGGGTGGTCTCTCCAGTCAGAATGCCCGCCTTCAAACCCTGCCCAGCCCTGGGAGCAAGGGTGCTGACCAGAAAGGTGGGGTCTGAGGCAGCACTGAATTCGGAGGGCTCAGGAGGCCTGGAGGAACTGCTGGCAAATGGCATGGGGACAGACAGAAGCGAAGCAAAGGGAAAACTCCGACGCTGCCCTTTTCAGAGTTCCAGGAACTCACCTCTCTCTCTCTTTTCTTTGAGGATTTCCCTGTAGTTCGTTTTCTTCAGTTCTTCAATGATGCCCTTGTTGGCATCGTCCAAGGCCTGTTGGGTGACAGAGGGAGCTGATGAATACGCTTAACCCGTTTGGCAGCTACATCTTTTCCTTTCTCTGCCCCTGTCCCAGAAGACAGTGTTCTGTTTTAACCCTGCCCAATCTCGGTTTTCCTTCTGAAGCCTCCTGCCGAGTTGATACTTACTGATTTGGGATTATCCATGTCAAGTGCTATGATACCATAGGATAACTCCGATTGCATTTCTCTTGAGCACAGACTCATATTTGGGATTGTGTCTGTCTCCTAATTTCTACCTTTTTACCAAAAGCTACTCCCAGCTCCAGCCAATTCAAATCCCTAAGCACTCAGCAAGGCAGTGAGCAGCCAAGGGGACAAAGAAACACACTGGAAAGTTTGGGGAGAGCTGGACTGCCTTTCCAATGGGCCACCTGGGTGTTTATAGTTGCCCCTACACAAGTACACACTCCACAGGGGCTAGACCTGAAGCATCTTCAGGGCAGGGATTGCCTTCTTCCTCACTGCATTTAGCACAGGGCAGAACCCCTGGAGGTACGGATGTTTCCTGAAGGATGTGAACATACTCTGCAGGTAGGGGTTTGCTCCCCACAAACTGCCTACCTGCCGATGCCAATCCAGGAGAATGAGGGGTCAGGACCTGGCCCCTGGAGGAGAGTCCCTGAGGGTGGTGGCAGGGTGGTGGTACAGCATCTCCACTTACCAAACTCCTGCCATCTTCAAAGTAAAGTTAAAGCCCTCCTTGATGGTCAAGGTTCCAACCCGGCCTTTCTCTGAGGTTCTCTGACCTTTGATCTACCCATCCCTAATTGGAGTCCCTGGGTGGTGATTATGCACTCATTGCTAATTGAAAGGTTGAAGGGTCAAGTCTATTCAGAGGTACCTTAGAAGAAATGCCTGGCCATCTACTTCCTATGAAGCAGAGTTCTACTCTGATATATACAAAGGGTCACCACGAGGCTGAACCACTGGTTTTGGTTTCCTGTCCCACTGATCAGAAACAAGAGTGTATACTTTTGTTTTAGCCTTGCTGCTGACACCAAGCTTCCTGAGAACCAAGACCACAGTCAAGTCCCTTTTGTGCAGGCAGCCCAGAGCAGCCTTTTGCTCAGTAAATATTTGATTCGCTGAACTGCCATGCAGTCTCTCTCCAGTTATATGCAAAATGATCACATGGAAAAGGCCATGTTTGTGAATCTGGGAGCTCATGGTAGGGCATCAGGAAAGGCACTCCTCCTCCGGAGGCCAGGATTACTGGCAAGGCGGACATTACGGGGCGCTGTCTTCCCTCAACAGATGAAAAGGATAGTAATGCCACAAACCAAAGCTGCCCTGCCCGGTGAGAAAGCAGAGGCTATACTGCCACCTGTTGGGGGATCTTGGGAGCAATTTCTCCACAAGATATGGAGTGTCACAAAGGAACTCGCCTCCTAAAAGATGAGTAGGTCAGGTTGCTTCTTTGTTGTTTCAGCCCTTTGAGTCCAAGCAGTTCCACAAACTGTGTGCAACAGTGAACTTCACTGGCCCTTGAATCCAAGTCCAGAGCCTCTCCCAAGGACCACCCCCCCACCTTTCCCCAGGACCTACTGCATTTCCAGGTTGGTCCCCAAGGCTGTTTCCCTGGGCTGCTTGTTGATTAATTACACAACAGTGGCCTCGCTCAACCACAGAGACAACCTCCCCAAAGAGCACAGGAGCTCTGTTAATTCCGTCCAGCAAGTGTTTACTGAATCCAGAACATGCTCCAGAATTTCTACATGGGAAGGCCTTAGGGCAGCAGTCTGGGGTGGTTAGGGGACTGTGTCTGAGAGAGAGCAGATGGACAGTAAGACAGTCCTATTTATCTGTTATGGCTCTGGGAGCCCCAGGGAACCTAAAGCTTCTCCAAGCTTCCCCTTGACTTCACCTGTGGTCTCTGCCTCACAAAACTGAAGTCTAAGCTAGCACCGCTGAGAAGAACTTTCGGTGGCGATGGAAATGTTCTTTACTGCGCTGTCTGGCACTCATGAGTCACAGGTGGCTACTGAGCCCTTGAACTGTAGCTAGTGTGACTGAGAAACAGAATTTTAAGTTTCAATCACTTTTTAAAATGTCATTTACTTTGAATTCACATGCATTTAAATAGCCACAGGTGGCTGGTGCCTTACTGAACAGTGCAGGTCCAGGTGGAACCAACTGCTCACAGTAACAGTGTCAGGTGGACATGGGCACGTGGGGGGTCATGGGAACCAGAGGAGAGGGTCAGAGAAGTCCTTCTGGAAGAGAGGACATTGAAGCTGAAACCGAAAGACTGAGTGGGAGTTAGGTGAAGGGGAATTTAGAAAAACAGTCTCAGCTGGGCTAACAGCTTACACTAAACCCAGAGCATTAGAAAGCCTGTTCAGGGAATGACAGGAAGCACTCAGAAACTCTGTCTTTGGCTCATGTGCCAGGAGGTGGTAGGGTGGGAACTGACCAGAGTGAAGGCTGGAGAGGCCCCTGGGGAGAGGTTACCTAAGGCCATCCTGGCCCAGCAGGAAAAAAGACACCAGGGAGCCAACAAAGGTCTTAAGCAAGAGAGTGAGGAAATTGGACGATACCAGTATTTCTTCTTGCCTCATGGAGAAATGTTTTTCAAACTGGGAGTCCTAAAACCAATGTAGAAGGTTTCCACCAGTATTTTTTTTTTTTTTAAATGGAACAGAGCAGAAAATACAGAGTGCAGAGTTGATAGTATTGTTTCGTGAATCCTTTGGTGTTTTGTTTGTCTGAAATAAGACTATGTCACTATATAAAAGATATTTTACTGTTGATGGCAGCAGCAAATGTTCACAGAATGGGTCCTATAGTTGAGTTGTAAATGTGGAAAGGTGAACGGGAGGAGCCAGTGCCCAACTGCCCACTGCTGTGAGCTGGCTGATGCTCGCCCCCTGCTGGTGGGAATACTCACACTGATGATGGCCTGCTGCGCCTCGTTGTTATGGACAATCTTCGCCCTCTCCAGGGCCTTCTCAAAGTTGCTCACAGCAGCCTCAAAGTCTCTCAGCTTCACTGGAGAGCAAGGAGGGAAGGCACAGGTAGAATGTGACACTGTTGCAAGATGCACCTGCCTGGCAGGTACCTGTCCACCCTCGAGTCAGAGGCACCATCACTGAGTCACTTGGCACCATCCTTCTGTCACATTCCTGGGCCCACCTACCACTGAGAACCTGAACCCGGACCTTGGATTTCAGGTCAGATGGAGTCAGGGTGGGAAGGAGGGGCCTGGTGCGGGCTTCTGTGTGCACACAGGTATGCTTGGGGCAAGGGAGATAACGCTTTAGCAGTATTGCCCCATTTTCAGATTGCTCCAGAGGAGCAAATTCATGTCTTTTAAGTATTTCTTCATATTTTTCAAAAACATTGTGCAGGCCAAAGCATCCAGTGACCAGTGGCCAGTGGCTGGAATCTGAGTTCTCAAGTTCAGCTCCCACGCTGCCATCAGAAGCCAGATAGTGGAGGGGTTGGGACTGGCACAATTGATTGGTTGGGTCTGTCCTTTATGGGAACAGAATTTCAAAAAGGAAGACAGTGCTCACCAGCCAAGGCCTGGGCACCCCATGCCTCAATTCTCACACCCTGTGGCTTTGTTTTATACCCAGGAGCCTCCCCTTCCTAAAAACTGCTTTGGGATCCATGGGAAAGGAGGGTCATAGTTACGCTCATAAGTAAAACTTCAAAGAGATGCAAAAGTACATTTTGAAAACAAATGAGGTCAATATCCATTTTTCCAAATACACATTTGAGGGAAGGGCAGTCTCAGGGTCCATTCAGAGGCAGAAGAGGCTCTGACAGAGGCCTGCAGAGGAGCCAGGATTCCCTCAAGAGAGTCAAGCATGAAGGACACTTTCAGTTTTTAACGTTACCTTGTTTTCCTCATCACCTCCTCCTCTGGCCGTGTACCAAGCTACACATTTCTACCTACATCTTTTGAGTCATAACTATGCTCTTCCAAGGACTGCATTGTTTCCTCATCACTGTTAGGGACCCTTGTAAAAGTTGTGAGGTGAAAGGGGAAGAAGGAAGAAGGCAGGATTTATCGAGTGCATTTGAATGCCAGGCTCTCTTCTAAATGCTTAGGTACAGAAGCTTCTTTCTCACAACAACCCTACAAGTAACCTGCTGCTGTCGAGTTGAGTTGATTCCAACTCCTAGCGACCCTATTGGACAAGGTGAACTACCACTATAGAGTTTCCAAGGCTGCAATCTTTGTGGAAATGCCACACCTTTCTCCCACGGAGCGGCTGGTGGGTTCCAACGGAACCTCTGACCTTTTGGTTAGCAGATTTAACCATTGTGTCACGAGGGCTCCGCCCTCTACGTAGGTACAGTGATTATCCCTATTTAAAGATGAAGAAACAGGTACAGAGTGGCAACCTGCCCAGGTTCCTCAAGCCAGGAGGTGCTCTGGCCTCAGAGCCCGGGGTCTCTCTACTGGGCTAGGCTGCCGCTAGAGCCTGCTGGCTGTATGTGATTGAATCCAATCAATCAATCCAGTGTGTACTGCAATTGGTGCCCAAAGGCCCACAGGCCAAGGTCAACCCTGAGGAGTAGACAGCATCTTCCCTTCAGCATGTAGGAAGCCCCCCTAAGGACAGAAAAGAGTTTTGATGAAAGTCACAGTGACCGTATCTTCCTAGCTAAAACCCTGCTGCAGTTGTATTTAGGCAAAAATGAAAAATTCTGAACCAGGCCCACGAGATCCTATGGCTCTGATCCCTCATCTTTAAAAGTCTCAGTTAAAAGTGACATTCTCAGATGTGAAGGTGGGAAAGAATGATCAGTTGTGCTCACAACTGTATGGCCAACTTGGCACCTGGAAGTTAGTATTTGTGGAATGAATAAGGTACAGAGGAATGATTAGTCCCCTGATGGTCACATTTCCTCCCGCAATGGAAGTTAGCTGCATTCCTGGGGGAGGAGCCAATTAACACAGTGATTTAGAACCAAAGAGAACTGGGTTCTAATCCCAGCTCCATGGCTTCCTGGCAGGGTGACCTCGGCAATTTCTTTTTCATCTTTGAAATCTGAAATATCAAAATATTCCAACTTCTGTAAAAGTCAAAGGAAAAGCATAATGAAGTTCCATAACCCATTACTCGCTTTAACAATGATCAATATGTCGCTAAGCTTGTTTTATCTATAGAACGTTCTTATCCTCTACCTCTTGCTGGCTTTTTAATGTGTGTGTGTGTGTATATATAAAACTTTATTGAGATATAGCTGCATATTATTAAATTCCTCGAGTGTAAGTATACATTTCAATGATTTTTGAGGGCAACCATGACCACAACCCAGCTTTAGAACATTTCTATCATTCCAAAAAGTTTCCTCATGTACCTGGGTCAAAGTGCTGAACTACTGGTTGCCTCAGTTTCCCCATCTATGAAATGAGGACAGTACACCTGCCTCACTGTCTTGTAGAATGATGGAAGATGAGAATACTGTGTACAAATTTCCATGTGTGAGCGGAAGCAGCTCAGTACATGAGCATGTTCACAGTGACAACGCAATGCTGGGCTGCACTGCAGCTGAGCTCATGGGCAGCTCTGGGCTACTTGAGGTCTTGCCCATATTTTGCTCAATGTAGGTCCCGAATGCACACTGGTTGAAATCAGTGGTTTATCCTTATTCTCAACATTCATCTGCGTGAGGATGTCCTGGGTTAGTAAACTCAGCCCACAGGATCCCTAGCCTTGGTAAGGCATGGGGTAGGAGGCTAATTGTGAGGAGCCTGGCAGTCTGGGCCTCGGGGCTGACAAAGTGGCTGTCTCTGAGCCCATACCTTGTGCCTGCGCCACCAGGACACTGGCGTTCAGCTGCCACTCAATATCCCCTTCCTCCTCAGCACACTGCTGGGATTTCTCGCCGTAGGACTGGGCCTGCCAGGCCTGCTCCAGCTCTAGGTAGCAGCGACCAATCTCATGGAACAGCCAGGTCTTCTCCAGGGTGGTTTTTGCCAGTGGAATCTTCTCCTCCCACCTGGGGATATAAAGGATGAGGCTCTGTTTCTTCTACTCAAACCCTAAATCCAGCTATAGGAGGCCAAGGCTTCCTGTTGAGCAGCAACAGAAAAATTTCCCCCAACTATCAGTTCTTTTAAGGAGCTCTGGTAGAGTGCTAGTTACAAGTCGGGCTGCTAAACTCAAGGTCAGCAGTTCGAAACTACCAGCGGTTCTATGGGAAAATGATGAGGCTTTCTGCTCCCGTAAAGATTTATAGCCTCAGAAATCCTATTCAGGGTCACTATGAGGTAGAACCGACTCCACAGTACACCATGACCACCCACCACCATCAGTGCCTTTGGAGTCCTGGTGTGGTGCTGTAGGATAAGCACTGGACCACAAGCTCATAGTTCAAACTCAGCAGCTGCTCCTCAGAAATCCTATGCAGGGCTGCTATGAGTCAGTACCAACTCGACAGCACTTAATAACAACAACAATCAGTTCTTTTAGATACAGGGATGGATTTAATAACCTTGAAAATATTTTTAAGCCGCCATAAATATTTTGATTGGGATCAGCTTTTATACGATGGTTGAAAATATTTACAAAACGGTGTTTGAAATAACACAACAATATTTAAGATTACTGTTCAGTGAAATGACTTGGATGTAAGGCTGTATATAAAGGATGCTCACATCTATATAAGAGAAAATCAACAAAGAAAACAGCCATAAAATTTGAATTTGAATTCATACTTGTCTTTGGGTGGTGAGCCAGATCACCCAATAAGAAAGGTCATTTCCATTGTGTCTTCCCACAAATCTGCAGAGCACAATTTCACTTGCTCCCCTTCCCCCCAACATTTCACCAGATGTGAGGAACCCATGAGAAACTGCTCAACACAGATTAGTGAGCAAACACAATTAAGTCTACGTACTTTGCTCATCCCCTGCTTACAGGCTAATCCATCCTTGATGGTGGCACTATAAAATAACTTATTCGTCTGTAAATTAACGTCTCAATAATAAGCACAAATATATTATAAACATGCTATAAAAAGACACTAATGGGTCAGGGATACATTTCATATTCTTCCATCTTTGGCATTTAGAGACCAGAGGCCGTTCAGAAACTGAAATCACACGCAGCAGAAGGCTGTTGGTAAACTCGGAAGTCCATTTCAATCAAGCAGCAGGGACCCAAAGGACATTGGAAGCTAAGTAAATGGGCCCCCAGAGCTGACTCTCAAAGAGCTGGCTGGCTGGTCCCCAGGGCAGGGCTCTTTACCAGCGTCTCCCTTGGCTGAGGGTCGGACCTGAGGAATCCAGCAGTTAGACCATTTGGAGAGCACAGACACAGTGTGATCTCACACAACCCCACAGAGTCACAGACCAGCTTCAGAAGGCCAATTGGTCCACTAGCTCTTGAAATTGCCCAAGAATGACTTGGAGTGCTTGTTAAAAGACTCTGGAACTCCAATCAGGGGCCAACATTGAGTAAGGCATGTACAGGTTTAATTGTATCTACCTGCTAATCTGTAGTGAGCAATTTCATATGGGTTTTACCACATCTTTGATGGGGGTGAGCAGGGCGGGAGGTGAAACTGTGGACTGCATTGGTGTGAAAGCACAGTTGGATAAGTGCGTACCTTGCTTATTGGGCCATCTGACCTTGGTTCTAACCCAGACCTATTAGAATCAGAATTTCCAGGGAAGAGACCAGCAGACTGGCAGGCATGCTCCGGGTGATTCTAATCCCTGGGAAATCTTGAAAATTGCTGATTCTAGTCCCAAAATCAAACTGATGAGCCCCAGAGACTAAAGTAACTTGCCCACAGTTGCCTGGCAGAAACAAAGCCAGGAGCTAACCCCAGGTCTTCTGATGCCTCTCTACCTGGCACCTTGACCACTGGAAGCCCAGTGTGGAGGTGGAAGTCTTGGCCCTAAGGCGAGTTCTTGCCACTTACGTGTTAATGGCTTGCTGGAATTTCCCAACTCTAGCAAAAACCCTGCCAATGTTGTCAAGGGCTCTCGATTTGGCATCTGGAAGGTCACTGTGGGGAAGAAGAGAAGTAAGTTATTCACTAGAAATTAACTGTTGTTGGCACTGGGGAAAGAGAATAGACAAAGCCAGGGGGCCTGGCCTGTAGGATCCAGTGGGAGAGAAGATGCCCAGGCAAGCCTCTGGCACACAGACCCCCTCATGGCCTGTGGTGGGAATGGAAATTATGGGGACCTTTCCAAGTCCTGGTGTGGCCCTGTAGGATAAGCACTGGACTGCTAACCACAAGTTTCATGGTTCAAACTCCAAGCCACTCCTTGGGAACCCTTCACAGGGTTGCTATGAGTTGGAATCAACTGGATGGCACTTAACAACGACAACTTAACTTCCAGAAGGTAACCAGTGAACAAGATATCCCTTGGATCCTGCAATTCTCCTTCTGGGAATCCCACAAAAAATGTGACAAGAACATTCATTAATGTGCTGTTCAAAAGATAAAAATTGGAAACCACCTAAATACTATCAGAACCCTAAGCAATGACAATTTTTGTGTATGTAAAAAATATCCATAATATAGTAAGTTAAAAACAAAAATCAGAAGATCAGAGTATGTCGTATACTGTCCCATTTGTGTTAAAAACAAAAATAAACCTCTGAAATTGTTGCCATAAGGTAATCTTTAAATATTAAACCAAAGATACTCCAAAGTCTTCTTAAAACCAAACAATAGTTTAGATTAACTATTTTAAAATGTCTGCTGTGAGCATTAGCTCTTTTAAGAAGAATCTACCCGCTGCCATCCAGGAGCTCTGGTAGCATAGTGGTTACGAATCGGGCTGCGAACTTTAAGGTC